TTCCCTGGCAAGGGAGATGAAGAGTACCTGAACAACAAACAGGGGTAGAAAATTAGGGGGTTTTCCATCCATTGTAAGCATCAAGATTTAACATCACAGTTGTTAAAGGTATTTAGGTAGCTATTAATTCTCTCCCAAGCTAAATTCACCCAGTGGTACTGAGCTGTCTGGATAAACGCTGTAAAACACCCTGTCACCTCACCAACCCCTCGCTGGGCTCTGCCCCAACCCAGAAGTTACACCCGCCGCCAGGCAGCGGGGCTGCGGCACTCCTGGGTCAGCGAGGTCTCTCCACTGTCCAGCCGGAGGGCATGAAGCAGCGTTTGCCACTGCCTGGCAGGACGGCAGCCACAGTCTCGCATACCCAGGCACCTCCTGGCTGGCCTGTAAGCTGCTGGCCAAACTCCGCAGATCTTGTTTCACTCTGGGGGCTTGGTGTAGCTCCTACCAACCGCCTGGTAATCAGATGAATCAGTCATAGTCTGGTTTGGGTTGGAAGGGACCTTAAAGCCCATACGGTTCCAACCTCCCTGCCATGGGCAGGGACACCTTCCACCAGACCAGGTTGCTCCAAGCCTCATCCAGCCTGGCCTTGAACACTTCCAGCGATGGGGCATCCACAGCTTCTCTGGGCAACCTGTCCCAGTGCCTCACCACCCTCTCCAGGAAGAATTTAACGTAAACCCCCTTCCACGTACTAAAAGCCTACGAGATAGGTGTGCACAGACTAAAAATCAACAGAGTTTACATGAGAACTGAAGATTTGACTTACAAACCTTTTACTCGCTGCAGGTTACTAAGACATACCTGGCCGCAAGGCTTGCGTTCAGTGGGAGAGCCAGGAACATGGGATAGAGACCACCCACAACAGCCCCTATCAGTCCTCCTCTGACCACGGCACAGACCTCACAGTTTAGTTCACCTGCACGACAAAGATTATTTCAGTGTCGACGCCCGCGCAGCTCCACCACATCCCTTGATAAGCTGCGCACAACGACGTGGGAACAGGCGCTTGGCAGAAACGGCCGAGCTGTACAGGTACGCAAGGAATTCTGAAAGGTCCCTTCATTTGGGAAAAAAACTAACCCCAAACCCGCTCTTATTCCAACCCACAGAGCATTTATCCCTCTAAAATCAACTGTCAAATGAAACCATGCAACCGGGGGAAACGGAACTGCTTTGTTGCAGTCACTTTTATGTGACTTCTAAGTGAAAAATGGTAAAAATCAATGATGCGTAACAGTTTTTTATACAGGTATATAAATAGGGGTACGTGTCTCCCACTCAATGGCAAGAACTCGCTGCCACTCAGTGCATTAAATAACCCATTTTTCACTTCCTGCTTTACTAACTGCGGTTTTCCAAGACCACAACAGTTGGAAGACCACGGTTCCGCGGAGAGGGAAAGCTCCTCCGCGTTACGTTGCCTACAGAAACAAAGCCCCTTTCCCAAACAAGGAATAACGTGGGTTTTTTTACCTACAAATAAAGCCTCACGCACAAAAATGTCATAAATCACTGCTGTGGAAATAAACGGGACCACAGCCATCGGCAAAGCCGACATGAAGGCAGCCCTCCTGACGTGTAGGATGTTCCTGAAGAAGTGGTTTGTCACTAAGCCGCATAAGCTTGCGTTCACTGCAAGGAAGTACGATCCGTAATTACAGAGGTTCCTGCAAAAGAAGGAAACGTCGCTTCAGCAATTGAGAACTGTGAAAAAACAAGCTTGGCTTACTCAGTGCTACGGTTGGCTTCTGAATCTCCTGCAGGGAGAGGTAAGGGATGTGGAGCTCTCGCTGGTGCAAAATGGAGAGTAACTACTTTCAAATCCACCAGCACAGCATTCTTTGCTGTGCACCGGCATTCGCACGCGCCGCAAGAACGAGGTGACAGAAGAGCTGAGAAGCCTTTTCTGTATTTTTTTATTATGGCTGATGGAAATTACATAGAATCGCAGAATCATAGAATGGTTTGGGTTGGAAGGGACCTTAAAGACCATCTAGTTCCAACCCCCCTGCCATGGGCAGGGACACCTTCCACTAGACCAGGTTGCTCCAAGCCTCATCCAGCCTGGCCTTTCAGCACGTTTCTGAATTTGCTCCCCTATCAGCATGTTTCTAAGGAGAGTGTTTTCTCAGAAGAAATTAAAAATGAATACATACAGTCACAGGCAGCTCCTGTAATCAGCTCATTTCTAGCCCGCTTCCCCCAAAGTACGGTTTTAGCCTCAACACAGGAACAGACCAGGTGGGACGACTCTGCCAACTGAGATCTTGCAGTGAGGATCTGGGCGGCTGCGAGCAGGTCACACGTAGCCATTCTGTAGGCTGAAGGGCTCAAGCCCTCCTCGTGTGCACGGAACACGCAAATTTAAGGTCCCCCCTTGCCAGGAGGTGACACTAGTTAACACCTACAGAGCCCCAACATACTGGCGTACAGAACTGGAGGGTCTGTTTTTCCCTTGGTAACAGAGGGACTGGCACGTTTTTAACAAAGGGTTTAGAGCAGCTACTGTTGCAATCTGTAACGAGCTGAAGGCAGAACAGAACTAAGTCTGCTCAGAGATAGTCAGCATTCAGCATCTTGACAAACAGCTTCCACTCAAGTACGTCCCACCGCAGCACGTAACGCGAGAGGGATCGTAAGAGCCTGCCAACGTTGCCACTCTGATGAGCAGACGGAAGTCGTGCGTTAGCTTTAGCCTTGGACCCAGCCCAGAGACACCTGGTTAGTGGAAACAACTATTTGATTTGGGGCCGACAAGGAGGCTCCGGGGGACTTCTTACAAGGGCCTGTAGTGACAGGACAAGGGGTAATGGGTTTAAACTGGAAGAGGGGAGATTTAGACTGGATTATCAGGAAGAAATGCTTCATGGAGAGGGTGGTGAGGCACTGGAACAGGTTGCCCAGAGAAGCTGTGGATGCCCCATCCCTGGAAGTGTTCAAGGCCAGGCTGGATGAGGCTTGGAGCAACCTGGTCTAGTGGAAGGTGTCCCTGCCCATGGCGGGGGGGGTGGAACTGGATGGTCTTTAAGGTCCCTTCCAACCCAAACCATTCTGTGACTCTATGATACATGGTATGATTCTATGATTTATGTTTCCACAAACCAGAAATTCCTGAAATGACACCTATTGCCAGGCAAAGCAATTAACTGGAAGGCACTCCAGTCCTGAGGCTGTGCCGATATTATTATGTTAAAAGTGTATTTTTAAAATGTGTCATAAGTTGGCTGTACTGCTAAAGCCCCAAAGGAAATAAAATGCTTAACCGGTCACAAAATTTGTCCTAGGCCAAAACTCTCATTTATTTGCAAAATTATCAAATGCGACAATCTTGAAGCAATTAAAGTACTTCTTGTTTTTCCTAAATCCACCTATGTAAAACTGTTCCTCATTTCAATGACAAACCATACAAAACAAGGATTCAGAGACATAGGTGCTAACTCTGCAAAACCGAAAACATTAAAAACATCTGACATCAACAACACCAACTACTTCTCATTTTGAGGAGGAAAATACTTTCATTTTTGGTACACAGCAGGTTTTCAAACATGAAAATAAGCTACTAACAATTCCATTGTGCTGCATTACAGCAAAAGAACTTGGCTGGTCAGATCTCTCTTGCCCTTATTTAGGAGACATGCTTCTTTTTCGGGGGGGTTAAAAAGAAAGGGGCCTATTTGCTTTTCAAATCTCCATTCCCAGTACTGGATGGCATTCACAGAGCATCCCCAGAGCACAGATTCTGCAAACCAGCCCTTTCATTCTGTCGCTGTGTTTCACATCACAGGTAGGGCAGGAGAAGTGTTATAAAAAGCTTCCCATTACTCCTATTTATACAAAGCTTATCCCAGATGATGCACACGGGCTGATGGCTCCTTACAGAACCAGCGTGGGTCCAGCAAGGTTTTGGAGTGAAATGCAGCATCACAAAACACGAAGAGGTGGTTTTTGAGGCTCACAGGGGATGTGGCCAGGTTTCTGCTGCACAGAACCCTGCTGACCAGTCTGCACGACCCTGGCTGACTCCCCCTCACCAGCTGGACACCTTGGTCTCACCTTCCTCAAACAGGGAGCAGCGCAGAATGAAATGTAGGAACTAGCAGGTTGATGCTCACAGAGTTCTGGCTCCAGGCCAGCCCTGGGGGACAGGAGATCATAGAATCATAGAGTCATAGAATGGTTTGGGTTGGAAGGGACCTTAAAGATCATCTAGTTCCAAGCCCCCTGCTGTGGGCAGGGACACCTTCCACTAGACCAGGTTGCTCAAAGCCTCATCCAGCCTGGCCTTGAACACTTCCAGGGATGGGATATCCACAACATCTCTGGGCAACCTGTTCAGTGGCTCCCCACCCTCTCTGGGAAGAATTTCTTCCTGATATCTAATCTAAACCTCCCCGCTTTCAATTTAAACCCATTACCCCTTGTCCTGTCACTAGAGGCCCTTGTAAAATGTCCACTCCCAGCTTCCTTGTAGCCCCTTCAGGTACTGGAAGGTGCAATAAGGGCTCCCCGGAGCCTTCTCTTCTCCAGGCTGAAAAACCCCAACCCTCTCAGCCTGTCCCCACAGCAGAGGTGCTCCAGCCCTCTGAGCATCTCCCCAGCCTCCTCTGGACTCGCTCCAACCAGTCTATATCCTTCCAATGTTGTGGGTTCCGCAGCTGGATGCAGGATGACTCCTGCAGAACCACACAGCTGTCTGCCTTACGCTCTCCAACACTGCCGTTTCCTAGAAAATTCGTTAGCTCTAGCACAGGAGGCTAGGAATGCTCAGAGCCAGTCAGGGCTCATCAGCCATCCCAGAACCCTGAGCACTGGCAAGCGCCTGCTGGAAACCAGGTGAGCAGGACCAGAGAGAACAGTGAACTAACCACAGCAAAAAAAACCACAAACCAAGCCTTCTGTTCTGGACAGTAATAAGCATCTTCACACTTAAATATCTGTATGACTCCACACTTGAATATCTGTATGAAAAAGAGAGATTTGCAATACGGGAGTATGGGAAAAGAAAAGCCTCCAGAAGGCTTGAAATGTTTGATGCACTTATCTTCTCCGATGTTACCAGCACTTACTGATCTGCTTTAGGAAGCTTATCGAGCATCTTTTGTATGAGTTCCACCCGCTTACACTTTTCCAAATATAGACTTCGCTGTGGAGTATCTAGTTCAAGAAACTCTCTTCCTGACATCTTGAAGTCCTAGATCATAAGGAACAAACAAATAATTGTAATCAAAGTTACACAGCCCCATTATGTATCAAACATTTGGACTCTCTCGGCACTATGCAATCATAAATGCATTTCCTGCTTTTCATGGCAGGGTTTTCAGATGCAAAGGGCACAATCCAGCTACAGAAGACTGATATTTATGACTACATGAACCCTCCCAAACTGCTTTCTTTAGCGATGTTACAGCTGTGGTTTGACAATTGCTCTTAAGTACTCGCTGTGATGAAAATGGACCATCTCACCCTTCAGACACTCCTGCCCAAGCATCCTGGGGCCATACAGCAGCTGGGATCAGGAAACATACAGATGGAAACTGCTCAGGGGAACAAAGGGCAGTGCATTTGTTTTTTTTCCAGCTGGATCACCTTTTAACACAGTAATCCCTAAAGCCAGCAGCACAAGGGAAGACTAATAGGACAAGGACTTTTGGCAATACTCTGGGCTTAAATTGACTGACACATAGAACCACAAGGAAAAAACCCACCAACAAAATAAATCCATACTTTGTAAAATAAAGAAATCATGAAGATACCTACTCTGCTTTTATATTCCGACACCTAAGGATGCTTTATATTGGTAGTCTTATCCACAGACATACATCAAACCCAAAAGCACACAGCTTCTTACGTGGCAAGGTTTTGGTAGTGGTGGGACTACAGAGGTGGCTTCTGTGAGAAAATGACAGAAGCTGCCCCCATGTCTGACAGGGCCAGTGCCAGCCGGCTCCAAGACGGATCTGCTACTGCCCAAACCTGAGCCCACCAGTGCCACTGGTTGCACCTCTGTGATAACAGATTTAAGAAGGAGTAAAAATCGCTGCGCAACAGCAGCTGAGAGAAAGGAGTAAGAATATGTGTGAGAAACAACTGTGCAGAAACCCAGGTCAGTGAAGCAGGAGGAGGAGGAGCTGCTTCAGGTGATGGATCAGAGATTCCCCAGCAGCCCATGGTACAGCCCAGGGTGAGGCCAGCTGTGCCCTGCAGCCATGAAGGGTCACAGGGGGGCAGAGACCCACCTGCAGCCTGGGGATGACCCCATGCTGGAGCAAGTGGCTGGGCCCAAAGAGCCCATGACTCTCTGGGAGGCCTGTGCTGGAGCAGGCTGCTCCTGAAGGATGGCACCCCGGGTTTGCTGGCGGGGCTTGTGACCCCGGGGGGCCCAGGCTGGAGCAGCTGCTCCTGAAGGACGGCAACTCGCGAGGGGGGACCCAGGCCAGAGCAGTTTGGGAAGAACTGCAGCCCGTGGGAAGGACTCAGGCTGGAGAAGTTGGTGGAGGACTGTGTCCTGTGGGAGGGACCTGCTGGAGCAGGGGCAGAGTGTGAGGATCCTGCCCTGAGGAGGAAGGAGCAGCAGAGACAGCGTGTGATGGACTGACTGTAACCCTCATTTCCCATCCTCTTGTGCCACGTGGGAGAGAAAGAGGTAGAGAAGTTGGGAGTGAAACTGAGCCCAGGAAGAACAGAGGGGTGGGGAGAAGGTGTTTTTATATCTGTTCTTATTTCTCATTATCCTGTTCTGTTTAATTGACAATAAATTAATTTCCCCAGAGACTAGTCTGTTTGGTCCGTAACTGTAATTACTGAATCAGCTCCCTGTCTTTATCTCGACTCATGAGCTTTTCATCGTATCCTCTCCCCTGTCCTGCTGATGGAGGGGGAGCGAGCGAGGGCTGGGTGGACACCAGCCATCCAGCTGAGTCAACCCACCGCAGCACCTTCTGATTAAACCTGGCATTTTAGTGATTCAAATGCTTATTTCCTTGATATTTTTTCCCCAGAGGAAATTTTCCAGGACTTACTTAAGTCTCCTTTATAATCCAGAGCCTGTGTCCTACAGCCTCTCTACAGGGCTGCGTTTGCTCCGTTTCGGGCCAGGCGGGATCGGGATGCGGGAGCGGAGGGCGCAGGGACCGGCAGCAGGACCTCACCCGGGAGGGACCAGCGGGGCCTCGAGGCCTCTCGCTCCCACCCTGCCCAGGAGGAGGGTCTCCAAACCTGTTCCTTAGGGAAACCACACAAACGTTACGTCACGGAGCTGTAACGACGCACACACGCCCCTCCCTACGCCCTTGGGCAGCGCTGTAAGGCAGCTGGGGGTGCGCAGTGCCCCCGGGGCCCGGCTCAGGGCAGATGCCCTCACACCGGGCTGCGGTTCACCCCCCCGGGCC